TTCCAGATCTTCTACCATCTTTTTAATCAGATCAAAGTTTTTTTCAACTGCATTTAGCTATTTATTTTGTTGAGGATAATCTGATGATTTTTCAATAAACTTTACTGCCTAATAAATTAAATTTTATTAGTTATATATGAAAATTAATAAATAAATTAACTCTCTATAACAAACTGACAGAAAAAAAGTTCATTATAGAAAATTATTATGTTTTCTTAAGAACTTATAATCAAATTATTATAGTATTTTGAGTTTGTTATATCCGAAAGTTTGTTATAAAAAGCTTATTATATAGTTAATTATACTTTTTCTAGTATTGTCTTCAGTTCAATTGCTTTGCTATTTGTAGATTTGTAATTAGCATCTGAATTATAGTTATTCAAGTTTAAATTATGAATATCCAAGTTCAAATTATGCATATTCGGGTTTAAATTGTGCATATCTATATTTGAATTATATTCATGCTTATCTAAATTCGAATCAACTTCAATATTGTTAAGTGCAGAGTTTTCAATTATAGAATTAATCAATATAGTATTTAAGTTATTTTTAATAATTTTCCAAATAGTTTGCTTGCCTTCATAGATAAACAGATATTGATTATTTTGTTAAATTTTGCAAAAAAATAAACTTTCCATATTTCCTAATAGTGAAACTAGATGTTTGCAGAGTAAAAAGCAATTTTTAAAAAATGTTGGGCATGAACAAACTTAATTATTATAAATAGTAAGATATTTATTTAAATTTTTCACTCCTTGATTTACAAGCTTCTTCCACTTTGATTTGAAATATTTTCTTCAGGATAGTAAAATTCTTTCATTAACAAGAAGATTATAGTGATACAATAATTTTGGCATAAATTGTGCTGATAGCAATATTGAAATATTTTATCAATAGCTTGCATCCAAATTTTCTCTGGTGTTGAAACAAACTCTTTGTTTACTGTAGAAATTAATATGTAATAATGAAAGTGTATATTGACATATTCTAAAACCTCCTTACATAATGCAGCTTCTAAAAAAACTTTTTTTTTTAGTATTTGCATTATTATTTTGTATAGGTTGCTATAAAGGATCAATAATTAAGCATTGTTGATGTGCAGTAGTAGCATTATAGCGAGACAAATTACCAGCATATTGGGATGAAAGTTTTTGTTCAATTGCTCATTGCATATGCCATTTGCATAATTAAACTTCTGCATCCTTTCAAATAGCTATGCTACTACTAATTTGGGAAAAATCTTTGTCTGAAAGAATTATTTTTACTTCTTTAAGCCTATTTTCCCAAAGATTTAAACTATGTAGTTATTGCTGCATGCATATCTCGACCTTTTCTAGCTTCAATAAAACAGTACGAAATTAGAAAACCTGTTCCATCTATTATTGCTATCAATGCATAAAGCTCATATTTTAACTGATTTGTATTATACATGGCATCAACCATAACTGTTTCAAAAGCTTTACATGGAAATTTATTAAAAAACTCTGTTATAAAACTAAAAATATGTATTGGTTCATTTAAATTAAGCATGATCATATAATCTTTTTCAGTTAAAAGTAGCTTTGCAGATTTATATTGATCATCATGGTATCAATAAAATGTAGATACTTCTTTGGCCCACCAAAAATATAACTGATCTACAGTTAAATTTTTGAATCCATTAAGTTTTTCAGATATAATTTTCTAATAAATATCTGGTGCTTTAAGTATTAAATGCTCACGAATATATTGTTTGATTTGTTCTATTACACCAGTAAACTTTGGTCATTGATGAAGTTTTTTGTGACTAACACAGGTTGAAATAAGACAAATCGGGTTCAAATCAGCATCAAAAAATCCTGATATGAACCTGATTTTAAACATATATTTGGTGCAAATACAAGACCTATAGGATACAATTCGGATTAATATCAGCTTACAAGACATATCAGCAAAAAATAGCTCAATAGGTAAATTAGTAGAGCTTATCTTATAGCACTATCGATTTACCTATTGAGCTATTGTTTTGCTGATATGTCTTGTATGCTAATATTAATCCGAATTGTATCCTATAGGTCTCGTATTTGCGCCAAATATCTGTTTAAAATCGGGTTCATATCAGGATTTTTTGATGCCGATTTGAACCCGATTTGTCTTATTTCGACCTGTGCAAGTTTAATTTTTGCACAATTATCTACCAAGTTAATAAAAATTGAACAAAGACCTTCACATTCATATCGGATAAGATATGTTCCAGTGTTTTGCTGTTTTGAAATATCATTATGTTTTTGACTTTTAGAAGCAAGTTCTTTATGACAATTACACCAGTAATAAAATGATTTTGTATTTGTTTTTTTTGAGATGGTTTTAGTATGGTATACATAATTATAACCATCTCCTTGTTCAATGAGTTTGACAATCTTATTTGCAATATATTGTTCATGCTGATCTTGATTTATTTCTAGTGAAATTTCATTAATTAATATATCTAAATTAATCGTTATTTTAAAATAAAATTCATTAAACTTTCCAAATTTTCATCAATATCATCAACATTTAGAAGAGCCTCATAAATTGTATCAGTAATATTAGTCACAATTTCTTCGGTAACTGCAATCTCTTCATATTTCCGTTTTTTACTATCTTTAACACGTGTTAAACATTGGCAACAAGGTTTATTTCCTTTAAAAGCCTCAGGAATTTTATGAGTTCGACATGATGTGCAATATGGTTTTAAAGAATCCATAACGATATTTGAAAAATTTTCATTCAAAAAATAAAAAATAAAAAATAATGATAACGATAAAAGGAAATATAATAAATTAAGGGTCCTGATTTTTCCACACCTTTTTTTGATATTTCCACACCCAAATGTAAATCATGTTTTTTTTTTAAATTAGATCGAAGGTAACTCGGCACCCACACAACCAAATTCGATGAAATTTTTTTTATTTGAATTCTCCAGAACTGCAGAATTCAAAAAAAAAAAAAATTAATCGAATTTGACTGTTTGGGTGCCGAGATACCTTCGATCAAAGTCAAGAAAATTTTGCCGCAGCTGAAATTTTGATAGACGATTAAAAATTTTTCCCAAATTTGATCGAAGGTATCTCGATAACCACAAAGCCAAATTTGATGGATTTTTTTTTATTTGAATTCCACTGTTCGTATGATTTAAATAAAAAATATTAACCGAATTTGGTCATGTGGTTGTTGAGTTATCTTCGATCAAATCAAAAAAAATCTTGACATTTATAATTTTTTTAAAACTTTGATCGAAGATATCCCGACAACCAAATTTGATAAGATTTTTTTACTTGAATATCCGGAACAGTAGAATTTAAATAAAAAAAATTCCATCAAATTTTGGTTTGGTGGGTATCGAAATACCTTCGATCAAATTTGGGAAAAATTTTTAATCGTCTATCAAAATTTTAGCTGCGGCAAAATTTCTTGACTTTGATCGAAGGTATCTCGACATCCACACAATCAAATTCGATGAATTTTTTTTTTTATTTGAATTCTGCAGTTCTGGAGAATTCAAATAAAAAAAAATTCACCGAAGTTGGTTGTGTGGGTGCCGAGCTACTTTCGATCGAATTTAAAAAAAACATGATTTACATATGGGTGTGGAAATATCAAAAAAGGGTGTGGAAAAATCGGGACCCTAAATTAATTATGTAAATTATCTGTATTTTAAAATTGAATTATCGGAAAATTGTTATTTTAAAAACCGAACGTAACTGATCTTGGGCGATGCTTGGTTGGTTCATAAACCCTGTTCGGAAAACCAACTCCGTTCCGAACATTTTTTTGGACAATGCCTACAATACCTGTACAATCTTTTTTATAGGGACTACTTAAAAGCATATAAAGACTAAATGGTAAATTTGAATTAACTTTATAAACTAATTTACGATGGCCAGATTCGCATGGGTGTAAAATACTTCTAGTCATTCATCCCATACTGATATTTTGTAATTTCGTTTTATCAATATGAGATATGGGGCCTTTGCATTAAAAAGAAATTGATATTAAAATTACGATATTATCCGTTGATTAACTTGGATCGACGCGAACAAGATTATCTCAAATCAATTACGCTAGGTCCTTTTTACTACAAAGGCCTGAATAGTTTTAATTTCCCGATTACTATATGGGAAATTATAAAATTTTGTTCAGAAAAGTGCTCATTTTTAAAAATAAAAATCCGAACAAAGGTTGCATAAATATTTAACCTTTTTTTTATTGGGAATATTGTCAATTTAACATGGCGAATTGAGTTCAAACATGAGTATAGGTATAAAATGTTCCTATTTTAAATCTGCCCATACTAACCCGGTGCTATATATTCTTAAGGTTCGAAAATACTCATGAAAAGTTCAAAATATTCGTTTAAACAAACTTGAGTTCGTAAACATTTGACCGTTAAAACATAATTGCTCATGAATATTTATCGTTTATGCGATTTCTATTTAACATCATTAATTTAATAGATGAACAAAGAAGAATATCACTGAATTGAGGTAATTGTGATAATCTACTAAGTTCGTGAATATTTATCATTGCGCATTACTATATTCGTTCTATTCTCTCAACAATTCAATAAACAGTAAAAGGAACTTTATTAATCAATCATTTAAGATAAGATGTTAGAGTTTGTGAATATGTACTATTCTATTAAATTAATTTTTTGTGCGAAATAATTTACTAGGTGAACAAAAAGACCATTCATAAACCAAAGTATCTAAGTTAATATTTATGTCTTTATTGTCATGTTATAGTTACTGTGCAAACTACTATGATTAATATTTTTAAAGTAATTTTCGTCAGCTTTATCAATAAATTTACAGAACATAAAGATTAACTTTGTATAATAAAAATAAGAAAGTTTTAAAAAATTAAAAAATCGTTATCCGGAATTCATTCTAAAAATCGAACTTTTAAATTTGTAATATACTGTAAATATTATGCTATACACTTTTATTTTTAAATGTTAAAATATAAATTTTTAAGGATATTCAAAGTCTGCAGCAAGTTAAAAAAGAAGTATGATTTTTCTTGTCCTCTTTAAATGAAAGTATTATAGGACGTTTAGGATTAACATTTACAAATACAGGTGAACATTGATTAACACGATTATTTTTCTCATATAAAAGGCTAGCAAATATTAATTTTTGTTCATCATCTTTTGTAAATTTGTCCCATTCTTTACCTTTATATATTGTATTTTTGCCTCTATTCTCCCACTTTTCCCATACTACTTCCTTAGGCTCTACCAATGTATCAGAATCTTCAGTAATAATACAACAATATATTTCCAAGTGCTTTTGACAAATATCAACTTGTTTTTTTTCATCCTTAAATAATAAATAGCAAACAACTTAGTTTAAGCACTGTATAGTAAAAAGAAAAATAATTACAGCATTTACCAGATCAAATGAATAAACACATGGCTTCCAACTTCGATTATCATTTTTGCAAAAGTGAATTCCGGTAACAATCCGAGCACTTTCATTATTTTCACCATCTTGATGCCGAAACGCGCATGTTCCAAGAAGACAATAAGTTCTATGATTATGTGATTTGAATATTTCTGAAATGCTTCTGTCAGTATTTTCATTGGTATCATTAGATCACGATTGTTATAAAATTTTTGCCTTGGATTTATTAAAGTACAACTCTTCAATTTAAGTAAAGAAGGTTTAAAATTAAAATTCGAGTAAAATCCAATAATCATCCATGCAACCTTTACTTTGTATTCCTTGCTTTTTAAGAATCGTAATTTTACTGATTCCCCTTTCTTAACACACTGTATTACCAAACATGGATTTGTTGAAGAAAAGTATTCTATATGAACAGAAAAAACCTCACGAATATCTTCTTCAGCATGTAAAACTGTTGCATATATTTGATAATTATCTTTATTTTCTTTCATATTTGTAAGTATATCAGTGGGAACGGGGATTTCACGTTCCTTGCGATTTGTAATATTTGTCTCATTGAAAGTTACTTCAATAGTGTTGTAATGAAGCAATTTCTGTCCAAAAGCTCTAAGAAATTTCAATCTTAATTCATCATCTAATAATTCATAAATAGATATAATTTTTGAATAATTAATAAGTCCCCATTTGTCACAGTCTTTTAATGATTGTAGCCAATCTTTTTGATTTTCAATATTTTCAATATTTATGTTCTTGCATTCGTGTGTATCACCGCCAATAATGACATAATTTTCATTAGTACGATATTTTGATGCCGACGAATTGCTTTCGGAGTTATAAGACAGAGAGATATCTTGGATATTCGATCCAACTTGATTTTTCTTAGAGCTAGCAGAGGTGTTGCTATTTGAATCAACTTGGTATTGAATAATACCTCCAAATTCAGTTTCTAAAGGAACTAAAAAAAAATTTTGTAATGATTAAATGATCATTTTTTATATACATTAAAATTTTGACAATTTTTGAACTAATTCAGTAATTCTTACAAAAATCTCCAAATTTCTCGGACAGCTTATTAAGTTCATTCAATCTTAAATCTTCATCTTCTTGATCCAAGGCATTATTAATAGCGTCCTTAAATTCTTCAGTTAGCTCAATTTCATCGCGCATGATAATTATACTACATTTCATACATTTAGCAACTTTAAATTCATAAGAATCTGATGCCTGTTGCTTCTTGTTATCAAACTTTTCAAAATTAATACCAAATTTAAGTGAATAAGGCGCCAAAGGAACCGATGCATTGGCTTTTGAAATAAGATGTTTTACTAATATACGTTCAACTTCCTCTTTACATGTTTCTGAATAAGCAGTCAAGCATTCATTATTCGAAAGTTCTAGTCGAGAAGAAATTTTACGATTCGTTTTAAATTTAAATGCGTCCTGTTGTGCAATTTTAACTTCCATACTGTTAGGTGTAAAATAGCGCCCACGAATAAGATGATGTTTATTGGTGAAATGGAAAAAGCTTGGCTTTGTTGCATCTTTAAGAATATGAATGCAATTATCTTTATCAAGAATTCTAGATACTTTATATATTTCTTCTTTATCAAAACCAATTTGGGCTTGAATATTGTTTTTAATTGCAAGGAATTTCATATTTTCTCCCATATAAATATCATTTTTATGTTCGAGAAGCTTACGCACTTCTGAGAGACTCATATCGGGATTAATATCTCCAGCATCATGCTCTTCTTCAGTATCATCTACATGGATAATGACAATAACATCTTCAGGTTTTTCTTGTATCGTAGCAGTAGATTCATTGACATTACAATTATAAGATTTGAATAATGATAGAATACTATTCATCTTAAAACTACTGAACTTTAACGTTAAGGTTTTGTTTTACTTGAGTTCATGTTACACTTAATTTATAGTTTGAGAAAATGCAGAAATGCACAACGCTTATTTAAAGTTCGTATCACATAGCACAATTCGAATTCAAATATATTGGGCCAAAGGTGATCGGCAAAAATTTTTCAATCTTATATTTTAAATAATCCAATTTTTTTTTTTTTTGGCCGACTACCACCTTTTACTGAGGACACCCATATATTGATATAACGTACCTAGATTATCAGAAATACAGTATCTCTATTGATAACATGACATCTGTCTTTGATTGGTTGGAACAATCGGTCGAGAATAATGATATCGAATTAATAAAATTCGATAGCTTAAAATTAGATGTCAAAAAACATAAAAAAGGTGGCATTCCTTCACGCCCCTGCGTTTATTTAAACGATTTAAAATTTACATATCATAACATGACCGACTATGATGATATAAATATCTATGAGAAACAAATGGGAACCATATTTTCTGTGGTAAATTTATAAAGAATTATATATGCTTATTAAATAATTTTTTACTACATACACTTTATAAGTAAAGACGATTTAAAATATTTTTATTTCCAAGGGATTGGAACATGAAAATATTATAAAGGCATTTATTTCTCAAAGTAAGTATGTTAAACAATATAATTGTTTTCAATCACTGTTTTATGGAATCGTATTTTTAAACTTGCGCTCCGTGATACTCCCGGATTGTTGCTTTATGAAAATAAATTTGTACTTTGCACATACAATTGGAATGCTATTTTGTATTCTAATATTTTATTTAATTTCATGATATCAAAGGCGAAAGGTCTCTTGAGTACTATCTGCTTGTGGAAGTTGCAAACCAAGGAAATCTTACAAATTATTTGAAGACTGGACTCACTTGGGATCAAAGAATAAATATAGCATCACAATTGATCAGTGGATTGGAATTTCTTCATAATCAACAAATAATTCATTCGAGCCTGGTAAATTTATATATTTTTTTTATCTAGCTAAGATTATATTTGAGAATCAAAGATTCGGCTTCAATTCTAGAATCGACACCGAATTCTACAAAATTACCGTTATACTGTATTACCCTTAAGCATTAATTTTTATAAATTTAAAAATTAACAACCAGAATCCAAAAAATGTTTTTTTTCACAATGATATTCTAAAAATAACAAACTTCGGAGGTCTACCCATATTTAAATCAGATGATTTTGAAAATATTCCGTATGTTGAGCCTCAAGCGCTAACATTAGAAAAAGGATTTATCAAAAGTTCCTGTGGTAAAGATGATAACTCTTCAAATATATTTGGTGACAAATCCAACATTTATAGTTTGGGTGTTTTACTCTGGCAAATTTCTAGTGGCCATCAGCCTTATATACACTTAACGCCCATAAAAATGGTTGAATATATAAGTAATGGTGAAAGAGAAGAGCCGGTTGATGGAACCCCTATTAAATATTATGAGCTGTATCAAGATTGCTGGCATGAGGATCCGGGTATGTAATAAATTATGATAATAATATTGAATTCGTAGTGCTTATGGACATATAGCTATGTTGAAGGAATTATTAAGCTTTATGTCAAGTTAATTTATTTTATTCTTACCATTTAAAGTATTATGGGCAATGGACTAAAAAAATATTTATTTATGTTCTCTTTTTAAGACAAACGCCCAGATTGTTCGATGGCCTTGAAGAGGCTTGCAAACGTAGATTTAAAAGAAGTTATATCATCTGAGCTAGATAAAGATATTTATTATAAAGATATTGATGATTATATTACGAAATCTAGGAGAAATCACTCAACACCTAGTCTGTATGGAGGAAGCACTATTGTTGGAACATTGATTGATGATTCGAGTAATATACGAACAATTTCTCAAAATTCTCCAGATCATATAAACAAGTTTCTTTTGCAGCAATGGAATTTACACAAAGGATTGAAAGTTCATGGTAATGCTTTCATTCACGGAGAGGAAATCCTCACAGAAAATGGAACAATAATCTCTCAAGAAGTGAACCGTATTCACGTTTATAAAAATAAATCTAGTAATCCATTCGACATTCTAAAAAATAGAAGTGTTTCTAAACAAATATTGGAAGAAATCAACATTTGTTTACACGTTCGACTTCTTAATGTCGAATATAAAAATTTTGAAGTTTCTAACGGATTTAGTAGAGAAATCGAAGATGTATTAAAAAATCAAGATAAGGAATCTATTCGCAAAGCTCTTCAAAAAACTTTTGAGAAATATGGTGATTATATACCTACAAATGTTGTTATTGGTGGGGCACTTAGGATCAAATCTGCATGTCCGAAAGACAGAATGTCGTTTATGCAAGATATTGAAACTTTAAAAGCTAATCTATATTGGGTTAATGAACAAATATTTTCAGGACACTCTAATATATTTGATAAAATTCCATTTGATAATATTTTCACGATAGAAGATTTGGATAGTAATCAAAGAATTACTTCTGGTCTCGAATTAGAGGCTTGGATGGAAGAATTTTACGAACATAAAAAAGGATATGTTATTGCATTTAATGAAATTATCCCAGCATATACTTTATTAAAAGATGAAATTAAGCAAGAAATAATTAAAGTTTGTGGAAGGCTTCAGAGAGTTAATATTGAGCATATGATTGTTCCATACATTATTAAGACCCCGATCCCTGATGATTTAAATAATTGGACCAAAAAAAAAAATTCACCAATAATATATTTATGTCATTGGATTAGCAATCTATATTTTCAATATGGCTTAATTATTCAACAAAATAATATAAGGCACGGGTTGGAAGTTGCAATAGATTTTCTTGAAATACCTGAGATATGTTTATTAGATAAATCATATATGTATTTACGACAACCACTTAATAAGAAAGAAGCATTCATTTTAGCAAATCGTATTAAAATCGACAACATCAATCTTGCAGAGATTCCATTTTTAGCAGAAAGTTTGGCAAATAATGACCATCCAATTTTGGATGATAGGCAAAAATCTAATGAGATTCATTGTTTTATCGTATCAGAAAAAATTAAATTGACGTTTAACATGAATAAAATAAGGCCATCTGAAAATTTTTTAAATGCAGTGGACGAAGCGCTTAAAAGTAACTATCCATTTCGTAACTTAAAAAATGTTTTTGATAAATTTGGGTATCTTTGTCCTCGTAATATTATTCTCGGTAGAACTTTTTCAAAAATTTATGAACCTGATAATAATGAAATTCTTGTGGATGACGAATATATTTTTAGTATAGACAATGATGAGTCCGAAATTGTAGAGGAAAAGCTTGAAAAATGGAATAAGGTTGCAAGAAAGTTAGATGTGTTATTCTTTTTAGATTTTAACGGTGATATAGTGAGAAGTAATGAGATATATTCTCGATTAAAAAACTTGAATATATATTCGGTTTGTTTAGTTTAGTTCTTGTACTAACATGTTAGTTATTCTTTAGTGTCTAGTTTAGTCCATTTTTTTTGTCGTCCTTAACTTTTCTTTCTTGGTAATGGGTTCGTTTGGAGTAGGCGGTCGTTGTACGTCGCTTTTGGTGCAGCAGTT